GTGAAGTTCTATGCATGTCTATTGCTGTACAAAATTTTGATCTCTAAATGAAAACGTGAATAGGAGAAAATTATGCATGGAAATTGAATCAAGTTCTTGAGACTTCTTCTAGATCCCCAGAGCTTTAATAACCCATTCTGCTTGAACTTAGTGGCTTAGTCTTGACTGCCTACTTTTGCGTTGTGCCAAAGCAAGTAATTCATTTGAACATCGTTTATTATTCCATAAATCTATACGTATAGGTAAAATATACTTACCTGAAGCACAACTGAAATTAACAGAATGAAGATAGCACTCTAGCGCTATGTGCATGTATGAATGTATAAATTCTGCTCTATTCCAATGAAAACATGAAGAAATTAGGAGGTAAGCAATACTATTGCTTTTAAAACAAATTCATGATTCTAGTAACATCTGATCAATATCTCTGGGAGATCTATGCTGTTGGGTCAGCAGTCAGAAGTGATATGAAATGTTACAGAAATATTTCTACATAATCTGTTATGTTATTGTAACTGATATGGCTTTTTCTATTAGAAATGTGATATAACAATATCAAAGGTGATAACCTGGAAAGTGAAGAACATACAAAAAAAAAAAAATCAGAATTTAGACTTCCCCAATCCTCAACCTTAGCAACAGCCCGGCTTTAATGTTACTTTTGTGTGTAATTCTTATTTAATCACGTGTCAAACTGAAGACTGACATGTATTATACTTTAAAAAGCGTGCTTTCAGCTTTCATTTTGACATCTAGTTAGCATACAATAACTGCTTTTCAAAAGCAAAATAAAATGTTTGACAAGCTTTAAATGTTATTTTCAGTTGTATTATTTCGGTTGTTATGTTGAGAAGCAAAAAAAAAAAATAATAATAATAATAATTGTTAAATGTTACTGGAAAACATATTAGGTAAAAGGAGGATTAGATTCTGAAAGTAAATACACATTGATGTTCTGTCAGAAGTTTGTGAAGTTCCAGGTTTGTAACATTTTCTTCATCAATTATTGGTTTTAATGAGTGTTGAATGGCCTCTTCTGCAAGTGGAAGGTGAGAGCATTGGTGTAACTCTGTTAAAGCATGTGAACAAAATATAGCAGTTATGGAACAAAATGCAATAGTGTATAAAGATTTGAGCTGGAAGTTTCCTTTTGATGAGGAATTTTATTTAAGAACTATAAGAAGTTGTGGTCATAACTGAAGGCAGTTGTCAGATTACTTGAAGTTTTCCATTTTCTACTTTCCTAGCATTTAAAAGATCTACGTAATAGAGAAAATGAATACTAATAGCAAAAATAGATTCTAATATAAAAACAATTTTTTGAGTACTTGTATATAACTGGCTGCTTATTAGTGCAGAAAAACGTTGAAGTAATCCTTTTGTTTTCCTGCTACCCTAGAACATTTCCTAAAAAAAATTATACTTTAAATTAGAATTATCATCAAAATAATATAATTAATTCAACATAAACTAAACAGTATTTTTTTCTTTATGATCTCCTTTTAAAAGGATATTAATTTGCTTCAATGAATGAAGATAACAAGGTTAATAGTTTAATGTTCTTCAGTTGATATCTGCTGCTTTTTCTATTACCTTTTTTCAGTTTTTGATTATAAATTGGCTAACCCCTGGTGTATAATTCCAGAAATCATCCCTTCAGAGTATCCAAAGCTATTTACTCATCTTTTATTCTTCCCTCTGCCACAGCCTAATTATTGTAGTGAAAGATTGAACACATAATAGTTTTGGGGCTTTGATCAGTCTTCATATAAATTTCAATAATGAGAGTAAAAGGTTTGAGGTTTTCTGAGATAATTTGATCCCTCCAGACACAGGCTGCTTTTACTAAATGCATTTCATTTTGGGATGCCATATGAGACTTCTGACAGAACTTGTGACTGGGTTCATAACATCCCTGGAACCGGAATTTTGTGCTCAGAACAATAAAGATAATTTAATACTGTTTAATGTACCATATAATTCTAGACTTTTTCTTTTTTTTTTTTTTTTTTTCCTCTTTTTAACTAGTTGGTCAGATAGTATTACAAGTTTCTCAGCATTTTTAAAATGCAGTAAGAATACATAAAGGTTTTGCTCGCATTTGTCCCTTTTGGAAAAAAATAGAGAACTGTCATTCAAATAAATAAAATATACCATAATCCTCATTATTCTATTGCTATTGGTGTTAACTCCCTTTAGAAATAAATAGGAAAGCAGCTGGAGGCTGAGGATATTTTATAATCTTATCAATTGAAATTTCAATGCCTCAAGGAGAAAATTTCCAAAATAAATGTGACAGAAGGTAAGTCCCAGCTTTTGGCAAAGTTTTATTAGAATGACTTGTTCCAGATCATTGTCTGATGTCGGCATGAATTAAGAGTATAGCAACACTTATGTAGAGAAACAAATGTTCTTTTCATCTTGATAAATTTTTCAGAAGTGCTCTGCCCTGTCTTTGTGTTGTCAGGTGAGACAGAAGCAGGGACACTGTCAAATCATACGTGGTGAGCTTTTAGCTCATTCTGGTTAATTTTGCATCATCTGCTTTTCATCTTTCTTACAACTGACATCGCAATTTATACAACTAAATATTTACAGTTCTGTAGGTTTTTGTGATAATTTTAGAGACATTTGGATTTCTCATAGGTATGGTGAACAGCAGATTCATCTAAGGCAAAAGCAACTGTATGATCAGTTTCACATGCAATGGAACTGATGTAATGCAATGGACTTGCATGTATGTAAGGGCAGGTGCAGTTTTGTGTGCAGGGCTAAAACCATATCATTGCAGGGATTTTTTTCCTGTATCAACTCCACAAAACTTTAGTTTTTTAGTAGGAGGAGATTGCTGGTGTGAATAGGGCTCTGAGAGGCAGTTGCCAGTTAAGAAGTAGAATAGCATGTTATTCTTTTCTTATAAATTGTATGAGTTATAAACTTTCAAAAGCTATATATTAATTAGTTATTTCCAAAGAGTTAAATATTATTATTCTGATGACACCAGTTTATTTTGAGTGGATTCTGATACTTCTATGGGCCCCGGTGTGATCTTCCCACCCCTTTCCATCCTGTGCGATGAAGAATTGTTCTGTGGTCAGGTTTCCAGATTTCTTGGCTTGATCTGTTCCAGGTTCCCTCAGTTGCCAAATGAGGAAAAATCTAGCACTAGAAATTTGGTAAGTGTACAGAACTGCTTCAGAAAGCAGGACTGGAACATACAGTGTACATGATTGACAGAGAAATCATCTGAAAGAACACAATGCCAGAAAGAATGAATGCAAACTGCTGATCTACGCTGCGTTAATCAGTGGTACACACCAGAAAGGAGACAATTGGCAAAAGACCATTAGAGATGGAGCTGGACTCTAACCCGAGTCCGCACCCTTACTTAGGACAGTTACCAGTTGGCAAGGAAAATGTACTCTTAAAAGACAAAGGCAGTGGAACCTGGCGGAGATGTGAAATAATCCTTCATCTCTTCTATGTGCTTTGAAGAGATCCACTGAATCTCTGTAGCAAGTTTTGAGTGGTACGCAAGGAATCATGTGTGAGTATGTGTGTAAGGGAGAGCAGTAAGAAATATCAGAAAACACAGGACAGACTGAAATAATATGATCTGAAATAGACTAATGTGCCAAATACCAGAAAGATGAGTGAGGATAAGCAGAGCATGATGAATGAGACAGAAGCAGTGATTTATTTTGTAACAGGAAAGAGTCAGATTTGACATTAGAAGAAAACCTATCTATTAGTAATGGTGAAGCACTCCAAACCAGTTTTCTGGGAAAGCAATGAATTTCTTATTGGTAACTTCTAAGAACAGTTTTGACTCGCATCTGTCAGGAATTACATAAGTGAGGTTGATCTTGGCTGTGCTGTGCAGCAGCTGTCGTGTGGTATACATAGTATTGCCACAATGCCAGACATTTTGAAGAAAAAGAGGAATTTTGTAGCAAAAATTTCGTATACTTCATTGCATTCAACTCTGTGACCTACAAGTGACCAAGTACCTCAGGTAGTGTATACTTTTTTTTTTATCATAGTATGAAAAATCTTCAGCAATTCTGGAATTGGACAGTTTTGCATTCCCTTTCTGATGGAATTTTGATTATTTGTCTTTGAAATAAAGTTTTTATTAAGAGCTTTTAAGATTGCTGTTCAGTTATTTTTGTGGTTTTTCTTTTTTAATGTTAACATTGCGAGTTTTCAAGATACTCCTAGCGGATTTGGTTATTTTTTGCTTCTGCATTTTCTTTCAATACAGTGGTAGATTTACATTTCAGTAAGAATGAAAATGATGTCCTGTGCCTGATGAGTTAAGTCTCTTACTCTCCTGGCCCTTCCTTCAAGTCATTATCTGTGCTTCTTCCTCTGTTTCCCAGCTTCCAGTCTTTTACTGTTGTGATGCAGATCTATGGTATAATGGAAATCAAAGGGGTTGTAATGAAATGTCTGAAGCAGAGTAGTGGAATCTGCTTTCAATTCATTAATTTAATGGATGTGTAAAATCTATTAAAATTGTTTTCAATACATAAGACATGTTATTGTTTGTTCTTTCTCTGGCTTGGAAGAATACAACAACATTAGAAGTGTGTCACATTTCTTTCCCATTAAAAGCTGCTTCACGCTTTTGGGCCTAAAGAAAATGTTTTCTGAAAACTAGAAAACTGAGCGGTGAAATAAATTGAGCCTCAAAAACTGATTGAAATCTCCAAGTCAATATACAAAAGGCATCCAAAGACTTGTGAAGTCTGACAGAATCTCCTTAGTGTTTGGTGTCTTTCATTTTGCATCAGGGCTTACTTTTTAGAAAAGTAGGAAAAAAAATACAGTGCTGTCAGGTGAAGCAGGCTGCCTGTTCACAAAAGCCTGAAATTGTGCAGAACTGTAGATAATGCGTCTTCAGCAGATAACTGAAATAATACATTTCCTAAATTGGTTGCATTAAGCAATTACTGATACTGTAGCGGAAACCATATAATTTTCTTCCTTCCTCGTAGCCTCAGCGCCGTGTCACGTTTCACCTACCAGATGGCTCCCAGGAAAGCTGCAGTGACAGTGGACTTGGAGACCATGAGCCCAGCAGTGGTGCCAGCACATCGCACCCGCTGCCCCTCGGCTTCCCGCAGGAGGAGTACTATGAGCAAGCATCACCCAACAGCCGGACAGAAGGAGACGGAAACTCAGACCCTGAGTCCAGTAAGTGACAAACTCTGGTCATGTTGGTCATTAAATCGCTTGAATAGCAGAAGAGGGCTTCCTTTTTAGGCACTGATCAAAACTGAAAGTTGATCTGAACATAGCCAGTAAGGCCTGTATTTCTAACAATGCAGAGTAAGTTTGCCCACTTGAAAAGAAACGGTTTTGAGCTGTAAAGAGTTTATAGATTGCCTGGTATTTCTGTAAATCTGAGATGCTGTACACATAGGCACTTTCTGAAGATGTTAACACTTGCCTTTGCCGTTGAAAACACTGTTGTGAGAGAGTTTATGCTGTCTTCTATGGTTTCATATCCAACATTTCTGCACACAGTAGTTTGCTTCCAGAAGGAAGAACTTCTGGATGGCACTACAGTCTTTAGAAATAAGGGGTTTTTGATTTCTCTTTTGAGAGCGACTGTGGTATGTGGTAAATATCTCAAAGAACTCTGCCACATGACTTAATTCAGCTGTTATCACAGGCTTTTTGTGACATGGAAAACAGAAAAAATCAAGGTTTGTGAGAGACTAGTCAGAGACCAGTGTTGCTTTCTCCGACTTGACCTAATAGAAACTCTAGTGCACTTCGAGCAACTGCTAATTATCCAGGGGCTCTTTATCTAGATTAAATTGAACTATGCTGTTGATGAAAAGACACCTGTAAGTATGGATGCCTCTAAGGCCTTGTTAGAGACCTAGTAAGTGATTTGGAAATACATCTGTTCTGGGCAAAACTAGACCCAAAACGTGTATTACATCTGCTTTATTATGTTTTGAAGGATGAATTAGTAAGTCCAGTGAGGTTGAAATAGCTCTGTGAAGTGTATCTCAGCAGTGGCAAACACAACATCCAACAGAGAGCATTACCTCTGACTCAGAGTTGCCTCTGACAAAGTCATCCTGGCTTTTGGAAATCATGCTGCTGTCCTTGTTGTGTGCTACTTGAGACCAGAATCTGAGGGATTTGTCAGCATGAACAATGACCTCTCTGTTTTACTTCTAGTTCAGTAACTATTAATTGCAGATCCTAATGTTAAGACTTTAAAAACTTTGCAAAATTATGATTCCTGAAGTAATGCCAGAATATTTTTTTTTCTGAGTTGAGAGACAACTGACAAGAACAAGCAGAAGTTGTGAAGTTTATTTGCTTCTGTATGTGCTCACATATTTGAGGATGTAATATACCCATAAGAATGTTCTAGTCAGTTAAGCTGTATTTTTCACAAAATGAAAGTCTAAGAGGCTACATATATATCCCAGAAGAAAGCAAGTTTCACGTATGTATTGTTTGATGTCTTTTCTATCCATGCACATGATCTAAACTTCCTTTCCAGTTCCTTCTTCCTTTTATTCTTTGTAACTCTTATTTCTGATATGTAGAACATACATAGAATCAGCATTTGGGTCATCTGATGCATAGAGTGGGGTGCATGGGAATTGTTAGCAGAGGAATGTGGATCCTGTCTGGCTATATAAGAAGAGGCTTGGGTTTTGGATTTGCCAGTGTGTTGCAATTTCAGGAGAAATAGGGTTCACAACTCTTCTAAATGGTTGGCCTAAAACCAATACATCTGAATCTCATTGACACATCACTGTACAGGCACCTGGTATCTCTTCAAGTGTGAAAACTGAAGAAAGTTTAATCACCTGTCTAATTATCTGATAGCTTAGTTTCAGACTTGAAATCACAGTTTAATTAGCATTTCTTTTTCATGAAGATTTTTTTGCCTTTCTAACTTGCATCTTTTTGTATCAATTTAATTGCCACTATGTAACATGATGCTTATAGTATGTGAAGTGTAGTTTTTAGTCCTTTTTTTTGTGTTTCTTGCTTGTATTAATGGCAGCAACTAGTGGCAGAAAAACATGGATGTATAAATGGATATCTCTTATCTGCTTTCATAAATTTAACCAAGAGATAAAAGGAAGACCTGTGACATATTTATATTCTGTACACTACTGAAAATTGACATACTTTTACAAAGTAAGAGCATTAGCAATACTTTGTGTACCAGTCTGTGAAATTGTTCAGACTGAGGTTTCTTTCATTCATCAATGCGTGTGTGGCAAATTCAGTCAGTAGTGGAAAAAATAAAAACGATTCTGACCTGATGTAGAGCTAAGGAGAGAATGGTCAAAAGACAACCTGTTGCACCTTCTCTTGTGGCAGCCAAAGCATGTGTATACCTGTTTGGCAAACTGGATAGAAGAATTAGACTGAGTTCAACTTGATTTTGTGCAGGAAAAAATATTTTTTTAAGCAGATCAGTTCTTCAGTCACATTTGCTACATGGGATCTTACATGTGGCCAGCAAACAAGGCTGAATGAAAATCTGGGACAGAGCTTATCCTGGCTTTAAATCATCAACAAAGTTCAAGAGAATCAGTCTTAACAGTGGTAATCTATGGTTATTTAGCCACATACAAATGAGGTCTGCAGCAGAAATGTATGTTGATTATTAAAGATGGCATAGTTTTTTTTTTTTTTCCTCCAAAATACAAGAAGCATTTTACCTTGCTTTAATTCTTGTAGAGGTTGATGAGTTGAGGTGAGCGGCTGATGAAGAATTATGATAATGGAACTAAAAGTTCAAAACAGATTCAGTGCCTTCATGTGGTGGAGAGATTATATTTCTACCAGGGTGTCAAAACTGATAGTGTTGTACTGATTTTTCTGGAATTCCAAGAGACAATGCTTCAAGAAAAATCTGTGCTCCTGAGCAAGTGATGACATGATATGGCTTCTCCATTGGAACATGTTTGCAAGAAAGAAATCAAGCTATGCATAAACAGAACAGACTAAATGGTATCATAAATCTGCCAGTATGGTACTAGATTAGCTCTGTTATCTAATTTCACTTACCCTTTCCATATTGGAACAAATGTAGATTTAATCTATATAGATTTGAGACCTAATAACTATTATTATGACATTAAGGTAGAGCATTAGTAATTAAGGGAAAGACAGGTTAATGCAAGACTTGAAAAATGTTCATTCCTTGTTAATGAAATTGTCATTAAAAGATGGGAACATATCAATGAAATATTCTATTTCAAAGCCAAGCATCACTAAAAATTTGGAGAAGGAGGTGTATATGATATAAGAATGGGATTTTGCTAAGGATTTGGAGTAAGAGCAGTGGGATGAAGACTAGTAGTTGAAAGTCTTTCTCATAGGAACTGGTGTATGTAACTAGTACATAAATTTCCAGCTGAAAATGATAAAGAGAAAAACAACAGGGTATGACAAAGATAAACTATAAATCACCAGTACCAAATGCACTGTGAAAAAAAAATCCCAGTTTATTCCTAATACAACAAAAAGAAAGCAAAAGTGAAAAACAAAAAATAAAACCAACCAAGGCAATGATGATACCACAACTGGAGTATAATAAACAGAATTCCTTTCCAAGTTGAATAAAGGAGAACTCACTTGAGAAACAGGTATAAAGAATGATTTACTAGTAACAAGGGAATGGAACATCTAGACACAGAAAAAGAAATTAATATTAGTTTGTTTAAACGGCAGAGTAAAATGTGGCTGAGAAACAGGACTGTTCTCGAATAATAGAGAATGGGGAAAGAGAGATTGTGGTGGCAGAGTAAAGTACCTGTTTGCTCTATGGACAAATGGTGCTGTCAGTAAGCCAGGATAGGTCAGACGTTTTGAGATTTCATATTTGAGAACAGTAAGTAGAAAAACAGAGAAAGAGAACACTAAGTGGATTCAAACAGGAGCTTGATAAATTTATGAGAGGAGCAAACAGAATGCCCTGTGTAACTGCAGCAAATGTATCCTGTTATCCAGGAGGTTCTCTTTTCTTTGTTCACAGTATAGAAGTTGTCAGCAAATGTTGGCCAACTCAGTTCAGCTCTACTCTGCTTCCAGCTCCTGGCTGCAAACCACAGTGTGCTGCTGGTGACCACACAGGCTGTTTGAGCCAAGCTGGTGGCCCTGTGGGAAGTTAGCCTTCATAATGATGTGCATGATCCAGTAAATCTCCCTGATGTTGTTATGAAGATGGGGCCAGTGCTGCTGCTGGCAGACAGCTGATGATAGGAAGCTTTCTATCCCTGGTGAAAATGGCAGCGTTTTTGGCTGTACTGACTTGTCTGATAATCAGAAACACTGAAGTTGCTGAAATATGCTCTTTGAGCATCATGAGTAACTTTGCTCTGGCAGCTGGACTTGGGATCTTGTCCTGAGACACAAGAAAAAAAAAATAAAATTTCAGCATTTTAAGCATTTTTTTCCCTGCTTAAAAACTGACATAATTTTATGTTAGTTGGGGGGGGGGGTTTGTTGCTTTCATGTGCTTTTCATTTCACAGTAAGGATGAAATCTAAGAGTATTTTAATTCCATCACTGCTAAATTGTAAACTCGCTGTAGCACTTAACTGTAATTTGAGAAAAATAGTAAGACACTGTCATTAGTTAAGGATAATAAATTCTGGGCTAAAATAGATCCCAGTGTAGTAAATCTGCCCACTGGGTGCCTCTACTTATGCTATATTGGGTTTTCCTATCCCTGTGGCTGTGTACTAATAATTAATTCTGAAAGTGCTGAGGTAATTAATCATTCTGAGGCAATAGAGTTTGATCCTCTACCTTTAATCAAATTAGCTTGTATGTAGATGGGAGTGTGTAGTGGCTGACTAATTCTCTGCACCACTCTTTTGAAATGCCTACCTTTCTGATGACCTCCTGAGAGCACTACCATGAATCAGGTGCATGTCAGCCAATAGGGTAGTCATCTGGTGAGCATTTGATTTAAAAGATGGGAAATGAGCAGAGATCAAAATCAGGATGTACTCAGCATTTACATTTTAAAGTGAAGTGCACCTTCATATAATTTTGGCATTTCTTTGAAGGTACTAAATGTCTGAGGCTGACAACTGTGTATATTTTCCAGATGTTTTGGCAGTTTGTTCATAAAATCTCTATCTAATCATAATCACATATAATGAAGTAAGCCAACACCTGATCACATGTGGTGTTTG